AGTCAGGGCAAGGAGTGAGAAATTTCTAGAATAGTCACAGTTTGGGGGAAGTACGGAGGGGACTGTAACGAGCCCTGAAAGGTTACTCAGGACTTTCACAGCTGTGTTCTTGAGTGAGGCGGACCTATACCGACCCTTCCTTTCTCTTCCTCTCCTGGCCTGGTCTCTCCAGGGAGGAGTTGGGCGCATCCAGGAGAGGGTGGGGCCTGCTCTAGAAAGCTCCTTAGGCCATTCTAGAACATCTGCATTTGCCCATAAAACCAATCGGGCCTTATGGACATTCTTTCTGGATTCTTCTGGGAATTTTCAAACAACTCACCTTTCTAGAAAATTGGTCATTTTGCCCAGGTTTTCAAATTGAACATCATAGACTCTGTCTCGCCATCTCAGGCTGAGAAGGATGGTATCCCTCCTTAATTACACACTGAGTGTGCTGCGGAAAGGGATCCGAACCCTCAGCCCTTCCCGCCCCCATCAGAACATGTTTTGGTCAGTCATTAGGGAAGCTTAGGAATTGTTCTTTACTGCCCAGAAGTCAATTAGGCCACAGTTCTGAGGCCAGCTCTGGAGTCAAACTGCCTGGGTCTCTCTCCTGGCCCCAACCCAAGCATTGTAACCTCAGCCTCCACCTCTGTAAAATAAGGAGAGCAGCAGCTGCCTTGAGGACTGCCATGAGGGTCACCAAATGTGCTTTGTAAACTCCCACGTCCCATCTCAAGAAGTTCCTGTATTCACAACGTCCAACGTGAAACTTCTCACCTCACAAACTTTCCACTTACAAGATTTTATAAATACAAACACACGATTACGAACACAAGCATCCGAGCTCGTCCCAGCGAGGCCACCTGCAGTCTCACCTCAGCTACCCTGGAGCTTGTTAGTCGAGGACAGTGGTCCCCAAAGAAGGTTCCCTGGACCAGCTGTGGCCACTGCCCTCTGGGGCATCCACACAGGCTCTACCTTCCAGATGTTGGAGGTCTCAAGAGTCACAGGGCCTTCCCTATGCTGGTGCTCAGGGCTGCAGCACTTTGAAAACATGGCTTCTCCACTGTGATCAATACAGGGAAAGTGATGATCATGTGGGAAGGGTGAGCAGGAAGAGGTAAACAAACATTCCAGGAGCGAAGGCCGGGATCATGGTAAAAGATCAGCGTGGAGAAAAGGGCAGAAGTTGCACGTTCGTGTGTGCTGGCTCCCTCAAGGGTAGGAATAATTCTGCAAACACCGCATCACGCAGCGTCTGAGTGGTGAGGCCCGGAGACACAGGACCATCCTCACGCGTGACGCACCAGAAAGGATTCTCAGAAATCGAAAGTGGACCCAGAGCCACAGTGGGGCTCATGCCGGGGCCTGGAGAAAGCGGGAAAGCTAGGAATCACCACAGGCTGGAAAAGAAACAATGGGTCCTGGCTGAGGGTTCCTGTGGTCAAGGCGCACAGGAATCTGAACAGCACGGATGCTCCTGTCTGTTCAGCAAAGAGCTCAGAGCAGTTCTGCTCGCCAGAAAGGAAGGCCACCTAACCCAACAGCTCTTCCAAAAAGATTAAACCTCTCTGTTTTATCCTGTTTTGTGGGAAAACAAAACAAAACAAAACAAGATAAGAGAAGACAAGACAAGACAAGAGAGAGGCCTTGTGGAAAGCCTACCAGAGAGGAAGAGAAACTATCGGGCTTTAAAGTTTTGAAGGCCAACTCACAGTCCCACCAACAAGCTTATACCCCACAGAGTAACTCTGGATCTACCAACAAACACATCTGTGAGCCATCGCTTACGGGCTGCTGTCTCCACCCGTGGCCGTTAAAATCCAGCATTCAGCCTGCATAACTCTAACCTTGCCCCCTGAGCTCCCAATTCATTTGAGCGGGGCGGAGCCCACAGTGACAAGCTCCCCAAGGGATACCCAGGCAGATGGTCTCAGGGCCACAAAGCCACTGGTCATTACCGTAGAAGAATCAGAACCAAGTGGCACCAGGCCGCTGTGTATTTACAAACACTGCTGGGGACAGTGAAGTCAGAAACCAAAGCAGCACAGCGCAGCCCTGATTTAGCATTTGCTCCCGCAACACAGATCTGGGAAGTCAGCATAAGTGAGTAACACGTTTGTTATGTAAGTTGCTGCTCTGTATGCAAAACCTTAACTCACCAGAAGAAGTTCAAGCCATATAAAAAGCAACAACCCACCCACAAAGCACATGCCACAGTCCAGCCAGGAGCACCATCCCCTCTGCCAGTCAAGGAGGAGCCTCCTCTGCCACTCCAGACCTCTGGCCCACCCTCAGCTGCTGGGAAGTGGGTCCTGGGGTCCAGGTCAGGGAAGGGGTGCTGAGGGAGGGGCCAGAGGACTTTGAGGGTGCCACTGGGCAAAGACGCTGTCTTCATCAGTGGAAAACAGAATGGAGCCCTCTTGTTTCACGACACTTCTGACCCTTGGGGACAAGTTCCAGTACTACAACACTCCTCTGTCTGGGGTCTTGGGTCCAAGAACCCCAAACTACTCTCTTTGACATTACCCTTCTCTTTCTGGTGAGGATCATCAGTCCTAGATAAGAAGCCAGTTCTAAGTGCAGAGTTAAAGGCCGGAAGTGGACGGGACGTGGATCACTACCAGTGGTGACAGAAGACAGAATGCTGGTATGATGGGAGTGGATCACGTCTACCACATGCACGTTACTCCTCCCATGGAGTCCGGCTGTGTCTTCACAAAGACAAAGGCAGCCACTCCTATACACACGAGAGTAGACCGTAAGTGTCGGAGGGCAAAGTCCTACCTATCTTTTTATTGCTCTCTTCCAATACCTAGTGTGCTGCACTAATCCTGAGGAAGTGCCTGAAAGGTCAGTGCCGAATGGAATTAAATCGGAGTGAAACTCCGGGACCACGCCCACTTGCCATACAGCACGTCTCCACGGGAGTCCCCATTAGAAGTCCAGCTTCCAGGCCCTACCCCAGGCCCAGTGATCAGATGCTGTGGGCTCTGCGTTTTGCACAGGTTGCCCATGACCTTCCACACGTCAAATATGAGAACACCTGTCTTTCCCTGAAGAAAGAGCTTACGGAGGGCAGCACGATCATGGGACACCAATGAGCAGAAAGGCCCTTTTGGGACAGGTAAAGCAGAGCACAGCACAGGCAGGAGGTCTGCTCCTCTCCTTCTGGGCTTGGGCGCGATGGAACAGAGGACGCAGGATATCAGACAGGACGAGGGAGGACCAGAACAGCAGTTTGGAGCTGGCCAGACCACCCCAGGCCTCCCCAACTGGCCTCGCCTGCTTCCCCCAGTGGTGGGGTACCTGGCCCCATTACCAGGCCGTGGATCGGGCGCATCAGTGAGGCATGCAGCACGTGTGGTTGGAGGCGGCATAGGATGGGAAATGGGAAGCCACCTTTTCTCTTCCCACAGCTCACTCTGCAAATTCCTACCTCGAGCTTCTCCCTACTGTGGGGGCAGCCATGCTCTGAGCAGGGCAGGGGAGCCTACTGCCAGGTGCTAGGGATCCCACCAGACCCGTGCATGGCATCCAGGGAGCCTCGGCAGCTCCTTCACTGCCCTTCCCAAGACAGGGAACTCCGAGACTGCCAGCAGCTGCCACGGGAGCATCAGACAGGATGCTCTTGCCAGGCCACATTTACACAAGCCCACTTCTGCCCAAGAGATGGCTGCTCCACACAAACAGCTCTTCCATCTGCTCATGGGCACCGGCACCTCCGCAGGCGTCCGGGATCCCCAGACAGAAACTTGAGTCAGGCTGAGGCCAAGGCAACCGAATAAATCTGTTCGGGTGAAATTCCTTTCCCTGGACAAAGAGGAACCTCAGAGTGACTGCTCGGGTTCCCTGGCAAGAATTCTCAGGGACAGCAAGCTCCCCCTGTGGAACAGGCCCTCAACACCTCATACCCCAAAATCACCACAGCGCGCGTTTGCCCCACCACCTCACCCATCCAGCTGTGCCTCCCGCACCCAACACCCCTATCCTCTCACACTCTGGTTCTCTCTGGGACATCTGATGGCCTTGCTCTGCTGGCCCCCCAGACTGTCCATGCCCTTGACGGACTTGCTGGCACCTCAAGGCTCGGGCCCTTTACAGCAAAAGAGGAAACTGCAGCAGGCAGGCATACAGGGGTCCCTGGAAGGAGAGCGCACAGGTAACTGGCATGGAGATGTCAGCCACAGGGTACTCAGTTAAGGAACAGTTTGACTACTAAGGAAATGCTAGGTTGGGGAGTTTGAATTACCTGGGTGTTTGCCTCCCCTTCCTTAATTTTATCTGCAGAGACTCAGCAGGCAAGAGGAATTCCATAATCTAACACAATATACTCAAGCCGTCTGGCCTCCAGGACCGAGTAAGAAGATACAAACCAAAAAATTAGCACAGGGTTGCATCAGAGCAGTGTTTAACTCCTGCTAGGGTCTGGATGGTGGAGTCCCCCAAACTCACATGTTGAATCCTAATTTCCAGTGCAATAGCATCAAAAGATAGGGCTTTTTAGAAGTCATTAGATCATGACCAGAACGAGTTCCCAAATAAAAGAGGCAGAATGAGATGCCTTGTCCCTTCCACCAGTGAAGGACACAGCTAGACAGGACCATCTGAGGCACTGGCCCTCATCCTACACTCTCTGCTGGTTACCTGATCATGGGCTTCCCAGTCGCTGCAGGAGACAGGGACAAATTGCTACTGTTTATAAATTACCCAATCTAAGCTCTTTTGTTACAGAGTCCTGCATGGACTAAGATAGGACCTAATGCAGTAATGAGCCCAATCATCCTGGTGACACCGCTGGAGAGAAACTCCAGCTGTGGACTGGATTGGCGAAGGTCTAAGAAGGAAGAGCCCACCATGGCCGAGGCTCCACTCCTGGCTCCAGCCTGCTGGGGCCTGTTGAGACGGAAGCAAGGTACGTGCATGGCCCTCAGGGGACTTAAACCCCAGTTTTGGGGTGTGAGGACTCCCCACCCGGCACGCAAGAGTCAAGCCCAAGAGAAAGAAAAGACACAGACCAAGCCCGTTCTCCACCAGTGCTGGGTGGGGCCCGTCGCATTCTCCACTGCTGGTGTCCTGCTCTCCGACCTGGTCGGTCAAATCCACATCAGGCTGATGGGACCCATTTCCAAAGGGCCTCTCATCCTTCTCAGAGCCGGCGTCCCCGTTCTCCAAGCCGTTGGAGGCCTTTTTCAGGGGCATGATCTGCAGGCCGCTGGGTGTAGTCCTGTAGGACACAGTCTTGGCAGCCCTGTCACCAGCCCCTGGAGGTTTGCCTGAGTAGCCCTTCCTGGGCTTGGACAGGGGCGGGTTGATTCGCTTCCGCTTGTGCGAAGTCCCTTTGTTCTTTCCCGGCTCCGCGGGCCTGTGGGGGAGTTTCTCCACCGAAGAAGCTGGGCTTCGGGTGTCACGCAGGAGCTTGGAGGTGCCCGCCTGCTTCCCCGACCTGACCCTCTTGTCCTTGGTCAGGTGCAGCCCGTTGAACTCATCGATGAACTCCTCACAGTGCAGGAGGTGGTGCTCGGGCTCCCACGTGTCCTCCGCGCTCCCATAGCCTTTCCATCGGATGAGGTACTCCCATTTTCCCTTCTTGTTCTTCCTCTTGTCTACAATCCTTTCGACCTGAAGTAGGAGACAAGAATCAGAGAAGAGAGAGGGAAGTCAGCTGCGGGCATCGAGGACACCACCAAGCCCTGGCAGGGATCCGCCCCACCCACTCCCAGGACTGCGCATGTCCGCCTTACGTCAGGGCGTCACCGAGGGAGCCGGAGTCCCGCTCACAGGCCTGTCCCGTGACGGCTTCTGACCCCATTCCCGGCTGGGTGCCCAGCAGCACACGACAGGCTTTCTCCAGAGATTTCCTTCCTTCCCATGGCAGCAAAGTGGACTGAGACTTCGAAAGTCTAATGTGGCGTGCGCTTTTAGTAAGTAATATTTATGGAGCACCTACAGGGGCAGCTCTGTGCTAGTCTGTCCCCATCTATAACACCACGATCATTAACACTTCGCGGACCAAAGGTGGGCACAGGCTCTCCCTTCTCACCTCCTGACAACTACTCAATGGGTTAAGTATGTTTCCTCGCCCCATCTCACAGGGCTTAGGTAATTTAACCAAACTGCAAAGCTGACAAGGGCAGAGTGAGGGCATGAACCACTCTCAGCCCATACCTATTCTCTTTACCGCACCGACTCTCTCACCACAAAGCTCTCCCAGAGGGACCAGAAAGGATCCGAATTGAGAGAGCCCAGTTCCCCCATGCAGCAACCACACAGCGGCCTAACTAGAAGGCAGAGAGAGAGAGGAAGAGAGGCAGCAGCGTCGCTGAGAGCCTACTGTGTGTCCTGCATAAGCCCCTGGCGTTCACTCTTATTTTCCCACTTACACATGAAGAGCTCTTGAGGCAGCTGACCTGCGATGCATGACCAGGACACAGGGGAGATGGGATGTGAACCTGTTGTCTGGGTCCACAGCCATGTGCTCCTGTCGGTGTGTCATTAAAGGTAAGAGATGCGCGCTCTGGTCCCATGAACCAACACACGTAGGTCAGTGCCAGTCCTAATGCTAGGAACTGAGGTATCTAGGTGAAGGATTTTTTAGTTCATAAATTATTATTTCTGCTTTGCTGTAGATGTGACTTTTTTTAAATTAAAAAAAAATGGAGGGAAATTCCCAATGCTTTAATCCCAAAATACTAAATTTCAATGAAGTAAACAACGCTATTGGAAAGTGTGTTCTGGTTCAATGACTGTATAAGATACTCTTACAGAATGGAATTTTGATGCAGCGAAGTTCAGTAACAAGTGAAGAGCTTGGCTTTGAAGTTTACTAAGAGAAAAACAGGAGAAGCAAAGTGGGTACCCTTCAGTCACTACTTGTTGAAGATGAGGAGTAGATACATGAGAGTCATTATGATTCACATGTTTGAATTTTCTTAAACTGGGATTTCTCACCAGCAGTTTAAAAACAACAGAAGCTATGCAAAATAATTAAATAGTTTTTACTGCCTCATAACTAATAAGTATGGAAGGGCCGGGGATTTAAACCAATGGTGCTGCCGCCTACTTTGCAAGCACAGACCTTGAGTGTGAGCCTTGGTACCAAAAAAGAAAGAAAGAAAAAAAAAGAAACAATAGTAATTATTAAGTATGGAAATAGCTAGGCTCTACATTCCCTTCGTAATACTACCTCTCAGAGATAATTTGTTTCCATAACTAATTCATGTCCATTTAAATTGGCCTACGTCTACTACAATCTATTCCTTTACAAGATGTTCTGTGAGCATCTGTTTCAGATTTACTGCATAACTTTTATATGTATCACACCAAGTCTTTAGTAGCTTTTTTAAAAAATACCAACTTCTGACCTGTGGGTCAGGGAACGGAGCTGGTCTATGTATTGTTTGTAACGGTGTTTCGGTGGGAGCTTGACACTCCATTGACAGTGAGGACATTGTAGGGGGTTATGTTCTGCAGGTTTGCAGAGGGAGGAAAATGCACACTCAGAGGACCCCAACCTGGAGCGTCAGCAGCAAGGCCAGGTATTTCTCGGGAGCTAACAGATGTGTGTTGCCATGGAGGTCTCCAGCTCTACAAAGCACAGGGTCAACTCTCAGGGTGGGGGACTCTCTCTCGGAGATGAAGCAGAGAACCATGTTAGACAGACAGCCACACGATGGGTGGGAGTATGCGTGGGTGGGTGGATGCGTGGCGGATAGATGGAAAGGTGGGTGAATAGGTGGATGGATGGATGGATGAACAGATGAATCATGTAGTGAGTGAGAGGATGGATGGATGGGTGATGGATGAAAGGACAGATAGAAAGGTGGGCTCCTGAATGAACTAAGTGTAACATTGGAGCACTTTAGAGCAAGACTATTGGTTTAAATCTGCTGTTTAAGCCTTATCTTATGTTCTGGGGCAAGTTTCTAAAACTCTGGCCCTCAGATGACTCATCTAGCAAAGAGGAAGTAACACGCCTACTTCATAGGGTGCTTGTACAGAATATACAAATACGTGTTTTCACATTCCACAGTAAAGGTCACGAAACCTTGCATAGCTTCCTATGACCACAAACCTTGCTGGTGTCTAAAGACAGAATGTTCCCCCACCGGCACAATGTGTCCTCTTAGGACAGTCCACTCCTCGCTGGGGAGAAGAGAGCCCACCCGCTCAGATAAGCCCTCCTATGCATGGAAGGTGCTTGTGTACTGCAGGGCTGCTGGAGAAGCTGGAGGGGGTGGTCCTCAGGATCTACACAGCAGTTTGGTGCCAATCTGGAAGGAGAAATTAATTTGTTCCTTCCAAGTTACCAGAGGTTTCCATCGCAGCATCACAGGTTGCTTTATGGAGGACAAAAGGCCAGTGCTTCCATGTGTGGTCCCACCCACAGAGCCCCCGGATACTTTACCTAGCACCAAATAAGAACACATGAACAGGATCCTCCCTAGTAGCCCGCTGTTCCCAGAAAACAACTGTCAGCTCTGGCAGCTTCTATTCCTATGACTCTGGGCAACTCATCCAACCCTCTGGAACTCGGTATCCCCATCTATAAAATATGCTTAATAAAAACAACCACCAAAGGGATTCAGGAGAACCGAGAAGATTAAGAAATGGGAAATGCATATCGAGCACCCCAAATCACACTGAAGAGAGGCACAGACTGCTCTGACACACAGGAAACCAGATGGCGACAGTGCTCTTATGTATGTTACTTCACCCGATGTTTAAAACGAACAAACAAAAAGTTATTTTCAGATTTGGAAAAACGATCCCTTTTTCTGAAAGACCAAAACGCCCGCAAGGAACTCAGAAGACAATTCACCCCAAATATTCCACCCTGCTTTGTCCCCACCCTCTCCGGACCTCGATCTCCTTCGTCACATTCTTGTGTTGATTTTCTGACCCCCTTTTCCTCCCCTTAGGAGTAGCTTCAACCGAGCCTGGATTCTAATTCGGTACCACCACAACACTCCCCAACTGGGGAGTCTCTCTTCTCCTGAAGCTCCCGACCTGCTCCCTGCCTCCTAACTCCTCCTTCACACCTCGGACAGCAGAGAAGTGGCCCCTGCTCCTGGCAGTTCTGCCTCAGATGCAGGCCCCTCACCTGCACAGGCTGTGTGTGCGTCCTTGAAGCCCAGTCCTCCTGAAAGCAAGCAACGCTAATTTCCTTCCCTTGCCCATCCTAATGAACACAAGGATATATGAAAATCCAGCTTGCCTGCAACCCCCCCCCCCCGCCGTGGCTTCTTTAGTCAAAGATAAGCATTCTGAGACGCTGAACTATTCCTTAGAGTTCAACCAAATCATTAATTAACATTTTCTCTCTGTGTCCCAGCTAACGTGAGACCATTCTGCTGCAGATGGGGGCTGGGAGTTCTGATACAATTATTACCAGTGCCACAGTGACATGGGATGGCTGTCTTGTCAGAAACAACGATTGGTACACCCTAACTTCCAGAAACTATTAAGCCTTACAAGGTATTCTATTTCATCTTTGTGCCCAGTCTTTTAGCTGGGCGTTATTCTCGCCATCTGACAAATAAGGAAACTTGAGGCTCAGGGAAGGGGGATAATGTTCCCTTGACCACGCAGGAGATGGTCAATCAAGATTTGAACCCAAGTTCTCCCAACACCGTAGCTTGAATTCCTAGATACCTGGTCCTACTTCACCAGTGGAAAGCCATCAAAACAAAGGAGCATCCGGTGAAGTGCCATCAGGGTGGATCAGCAACATACAGGACAGGTATTGAAGAAAGAAATAGCTTCAAGAAACCATTCATTCAATGAGTATTTCTCTTTGTGTCTGTGGTGCTTGGGAACAGATATAGGACCTTGCACATGCTAGGCAAGTGCCCTACCACTGGGCTACACTCTTGGAGCTTTTAAAACTACTTCTTTATTCATTTTGGTTCTAAGCATTAAACTAAGGCTTGGCACTGAGCTACACCCCAGCCTCATTTTTATTTGGAGACGGAGCCTCAAACTCCTGCCTCAGTCTCCTTGGTCACCTGGGATTACAGATATGGACCCCCACGCCTGGCTCAACAAGTATGAAATAAGCACTGACACAGAAGGCTGGGGTGTGCAGCAGGAAACCAACAGAGCACGGGGCATCAGAGTCTTAGAAGGGTAAGCACGAGGAGACATGTGATAAGGAATATGGAGAGTGAATGAAAGGGAAGAGGAGGAATGGTGATGGACACAAGGCTGCCTGAAGAAGGATCAATTTAAACAGACCCAAGTGAAAGGGGGGAAGGCTAGGACTCATAAGGCCTGTATACTGGGGGAGGGCAGAGACGGAACAATGAGGGTTGTGATGATAGTGAATAGCAAAAGAGTGAATTC